GTTTCTGTTAATTTTCTGATATTTATGGCAAAGCTTCCCAGAAATCTAAATTCAAGTACAAATTTTGTAGCCTGTCATTTGACTGATGCAAGGAAATTTTGTGGAACCTCAGTAGAGCTCCTGAGACACTCCACAAAGTTTCTCCCTTTCCTCCTGGGAAGGCATTACATGAATTTGTTCTATTTGGCTTTTACCTAATGAAGTAAAACTGGAAGGGAAGCATTGTCACTTGGGAAAATGGTAAAACTTTGGTATGTACAAAATGTTAACAGTAGTTTTCTAAAATGTGTATGAAAAAACCTCTCAGTATCTGGTATGTATGTAAATTGTCAATGGTGATTGTCACCTTGTAATATTGTATAATTCAATTGTTTCACATCTACAGAAATTGTTTCTGGAAATATAGGGGGAAAAGGTCTCAACAGATTCCTATCGATGGAACTGTTGAGAGTAAAAAACTTTCCTACAAAGGACCGAATAGACCTGGAAATACACCTGACATTTACTAAGGTTTCTTTGACATAATACTGGAAATTTTTTTATGCATTCTGTCCTGAATCCACGAAGTTTTTGTTTTGTTTTGTTTTGTTTTGAGTAACCAGGATCTGCAGAAAGGTTGCAATTTTTTTCCCAGCAAAGCTAACTTGTCACATTTTCTCTCCCCTTGATACCAACACAGCATACAAATAGTGGTAGTAATTTTTGCTACTTATTTCAGAGTCTGTTTTTGCTTAACTTTCATAGGGATTTTGTCTGTTTTAACAAAAAATTGGACGTGAGTTTGATTGTGTGGCTTTGTGTGGAGTTCTTCCAGAAAGTCGAAAAAGAGCTGAACCAAGAAGAGGAGAACCTGTTTGCCTTGTTTGTAGGGTTCCAGAGACCTCCAAAGAAGGTGAGGAAGCTTGCCTCCATTGGCAGGACTGGACAACCCGGCCAACGAAAATGCCCTGGTACCCTCGAGAAGAGGAAAGCCCAGGTGGAGTCTGATGAGACCAACGTTATACCTGAAGCATACATCGACTGGATGCCACCGGTTCGCTCTGATCCTGTATGGAATATTTCAACAAAGCCAGCTAAAAATTGCTGTTAGATATTTCTACCCTGTGATTTTATGCAAAAATAGGAAAAATGGTTTAAAAGTAGATTTAGTTTGCAAACTTTTGCTATGCTGTTAAAAGTTTGGGATCAAGGTTGAGAAAATCTGTGTTTTACATCAGTTGAACCATTTTAACATTTTTTCCCTGTGATTTTGATATATTTGCTATCTTGTTTTAGCCAATGCTCCAAATTTTTTTCTTTTGGCTTGGATAATGGACTATTTTTAAGTAATGAAACTGTCATACTGGACATTCATGGACAGTGCTGCTGACTAATTGTTGCTTCTCTTACACACATTGTAACCCTGAAAAAAAGACTGTCTCCTAAGATTACACCATGACATCTGTGCCACCATAGATATGGTGGAATAAAAATTAAAAGGGGGGATTGCAACAGGGTGGTCCTCAGGAAAGGGGGAGGTTCCCTGCCCCACCCAAGGGAGGGTGGAGCTGAGCAGGAAGAGGAGAAGCTGCAGAAGAGACTGAGGAAGGAAGCAAGATGGAGCCAGGAGACCTGGAGGAGGCGCATGGAGCCTAGAGACACGTGAAGAAACTGCGCTTGTCTTTTGGTCGTGGACTGGGTGACACAGATGTGGGTGAGACCCGTGGGGAGGTGACCATGGCAGCTTTTATCTTGATGTTGATTTTGCTCTTTTCCTTCCGGGCTTGTCTGGTTGTTTCTGACTCTTTTCTGTGGGTCCCCACTGGAAGATGCTTTAGACTTGTGGCAGGCTTTGGGGCCTTGTTCTGGGCCGATCCCATATGGATGGACTTTTACCCACGAGGGGACGGGTAACTGTGGGTGCTTCATTTAGAAACTAGACTCTTTGCCTTTCCTGTATTGTTTCCTAGTTGTATTAAAGTTCCTTCCCATTAAAGTCTCATGTTTTGTGTTGATGCGGCGGATGGCAGAACCCATGTAGAATAGGCAGGTTTGCGGGGCTTGGGCTGCCCCTCTCCCTACCCTGTAACATTTCCAAGATGATTTCTCCTATCTGTGCCTAGAAATCTTTCCCCTTCCTGCCTTTTCTGGAATTTTCCCACTCTGGGTGTCCTTCCCATACACGTGGGCGCCCAGGACGGACACCACTCACGCTCACCTTCCTGCCAGCACTTTCCTTGGCTTCTCTCGGGCCACTCTCTGCCTCTTGGCCTCATTCCTCATCCTTTCCACCCCCCTCCTTCCTGTTTACACCCTCTCTGAGCTTCTTCTTTATTCATAAACTTCCCTATTCATTAAACTGTACAACATCAAGGTACCTTTTGTAAATACAGTAACTTGAGGAAGCGCTGCTCTGCCCCGAGGCGGCCCCAAAGCTGGCTGCTCATCCCTCTCATAAAACAGGCTTATCAAAGGCTCTCATCAAGATACCTCTTATCTCTGCACCCCATGTCTTTCCTGTGTCTTTGAAAGTATCAGACTTTCCAGATGTTGCTGGGATCCCTGGCACCCCAACCCCTCTATACTACATAATCTCAGAGCAGCTCACAACTCCTCTATTTTTAATGCCTACTCGGTTGGCTCCTCCACATTTTTCATCTCTACCCCTTCCTTTCCAGCCCTCTGTCTCCAGCTTACTTCATCTGCTATTAGATCATCTCTAAAATAATCCTCTTTCCTCCAATGACCTTGCTTCACTTTGTCATGTACACACACAATAAAGATGAGTAATCAAAATAGAACGAACACACCATGAATATTTAATAGGGAGACACTCCCTTACATGAGGGAAGCAGGCACTTTTCAAATCATGATGTTATTGCAAACTGAGTTACTTGGTAAGAGGCCGACCAGCAGAGAGTGAATGTGATTGGCCTTTTTTTCCCCACACTGTTAGGGGGAAAGGTTGTCCCCACTCCAGACTAAAGCCATCAGGACATTGGGAAAGACAAATCCCGTCACCACCAAAGGGAAGGTGGCTGAGACCTGAGGGTGGAGTTAAGCAGCCAGGTTGGGTATGAAAACCAAACACGTGGGCCTTGGGCTCTGGCTCACTGTCGTTCGCCTCCTGGCTTCACGGCTCCTGGCTTGCAGCCAGCTCTCAGAGGGCCATTTTGGGATTCCTGATGGGCGGATCGGGTAGGACGCATTTAAAACTTTGTCTCCCACTTTTCTCCCTGAGCTGTACATTTCCTCATTTCCCCTTCCCTTTCAAATAAACCTTTTATGAACCTTTCGCGTGTGCCTGCAGTAGAGCATTGATGAGTCCTTTTAAGCGCGCGGGTGAGGACCCACAGTCAGGCACCTCGTTTTGTATCGGGGCTGCTCTATAACAACACCACTGACAGCACAGCAGGCCAGGAGAAGGGCTTTTTACAAGATTTTGCACTGTCAAGGCCTTTGTTCTTCTTTGGAGTCAATGACTAGGATAATCTCTTTATAACCACAATGCAGTTTGGTTTATCCTCATTGGTAAGTCGAGCAAGGCAAGAGAGTTAGAACTGGCAAGGATATTAAAGACTATTTCGTTTTTTTTTTTTTTTAATATTTTTCATTCTTTTTTTTTTTTTAAGTGAGAATAGGGACCCATTATTTATTTATTTATTTATTTAAGAATTATTTATTTATTTATATAAGTACTGGGTACAGTCAGAAGCATGGGAGGGTGAGAGAATTCACCAGAGCCAGAGAAGAGAGCAGAACAGGCAGACTGATGAAATACACTGCTAAGGGGAGCAGCGGGTGCCACAGGAGAGGTCTGCGTGCCATGTGGGACCCGCCCCCGGGGTCCGGGATCGAACTGGTGCTGCAGAGCTTCACAGCCCAGTGCTCAACCGCTGGTCCCTTCCCCTCATTAGGAAAGAAACTGGAACAGTGTAACATGAAATCGTTTTCCAAGACGGAGCTAAGTTTAACCCTCTTACTCCTCTCCCAAAGCGCACATTCCTTGGTACCATTTTAATTTTTTTTTAATACTGATATAAAACAAATAAAATTTACCATACTAGCTGTTTTTAGTTTATAGGTCACAGTGCTCAGGATGGCCGCATAGTCGTGCAAAGCTCTCTAGAAATGTGAAGTTTGAAAATTTGAAACTGCCTTTGAGCTACAACTACCCACTGCCCCCTCGCTTCCTGGCAACCACCAGCACACCTTCAGAGTGTGAGTATGTAACAGAACAGGGGGGTCCCCAAGAAAAGGGGAGGTTCCAGGTTTCCTGCCCCACCCAAGGGAGGGTGGAGCTGAGCAGGGAGAGAAGAAGCTGCAGAGGAGACTGAGGAAGGAAGGAAGCAGGATGGAGCCAGAGGGAGACCTGGGGGAGGCACATGGAGCCTAGAGACACATGAAGAAACTGCGCTTGCCTTTTGGTTGTGGATGGGGTGACACAGATGTGGGTGAGACCCTTGGGGAGGTGACAGTGGCGGTTTTTGTCTTGATCTTGATTTTGCTCTTTTCCCTCCAAACTTGTCTGGTTGTTTCTGACCCTTTTCTGTGGGTCCCCACTGGAAGGTGCTTTAGACCTGTGACAGGCTTTGGGGCCTTGCTCTGGGCCAGTGCTGCTTGGGTGGACTTTTGCCCACGAGTGGACGGGAACTTTGGATGCTTGATTTAGAAACTAAATTCTTTGCCTTTCCTGTATTGTTTCCTAATTGTATTAAAGTTCCTTCCCATTAAGTCTCATAATATTTTGTATTGATGGAGCGGATGGCAGAACGTATTTAGAGAAGGCAGGTTTGGGGGTTCTGGGGTGCCCCTCTCCCTGCCCTGTAACAAGTACACCAATGCACATGCACAAGCACTCACCCACACACTCACACATGCACACACTTCCTCTCACATGTACACACATGTTCACACTCATACACCTACACCCACACTCAATATAAGTTCAGTCCAGAGAGATCTGGCCACTTTCTGTCCTATTGCCCTGGGTAACACAACCATAACAACCACACTGCACTTCATTGATTTATTAACCTCAGGGTTCTTCTCGAAGGTCCATCAGAGGGCTCTGGTTGCTCTTTTGCATGGCTGTGCCCCACAGAGGCTAATGCAGTACGACTTTTATGATATTGCTGGATTCAACAGGGAACCAGTTTCAGGAGGACCAAGAATGCCAACCCTATGTTAAGAACACAGAGGGTGAGTTTATAAGAATGTAGTCTCCCTAGAAGAAAACCACCTTCCCAATCCCATGTGCATGGAGTTCACGCCCTTTTACAGAATTTTAGAAGAACAGGCCGCCCTTATGTGTCCATTTGGCCAAATGAGTGAAGAACATGGGTAGATATGCTCGGAGTTCTTTGTTCAGGAGCTGGCCAGGAATTCTGGAGAGCACCAGATTCTCTCCTCCAAAGTACAAGATTGCCAGAAAATAGGACATGTGGGACCTTGAAAAACCACAGAACAGCCTGATGTTGGACTAGAGTCCTGTCACCAGTCCTTTTCCAGCCTGCCCTGTCTCACCTGTGGACCCGGTGTCACGGCTCATGCCAGGTAGTGTCAGGGGCTTACTCAGCACGATGTCTGTACATTAGATGGCTCCATTTTTATTCCATAAATTAAAAAAAAATAGGAGAATATACTCCCATGGTTGCTTTAATATCTGGGGGGAAAATATGTTAAGTGCCTTCTCAAGCTAATTTACTATAAATTGATGTTGAGCACAAGACCAAGTTGGATTTGGGGAAAAGAATTCAACTCATGGGCCTCCCCGGTGGCGCAGTGGTTGAGCGCTGGGGTGCGAAGCTGCCCGTAGCCTCTGCAGTGCCGGTTCGATCCCCGGCTACCGGAGGAGGGTCCCACATGGCGCGCAGACCTCCCCTGCCGCCCGCTGCTCCCCTCAGCAGTGTACTTCGGTCCTTCTGCCTGCTCTGCTCCCTGCTCTGGTTCTGGTGAATTCTCTCACCCTCCCGCGCTTCTGACTGTACCCAATGCTTGTATAAATAAATAAATAAATCTTTAAAAAAAATTAAAAATTTAAAAAATATATTAAAAAAAAGAATTCAACTCACATAAAAATAAAATTAAAAAAAAGAAAAAGAATTCAACTCAGAGGGATTTGTTGTCTGTCTACAGACATGACTATGTGTTGGAATGAGGCCCCTGGAAGGAACTCAAGGGTCATAGGAGGGAAGTGATACAGAGAAATTGATGACCAGTGACATCAAGAGAAGGAGCACCTACCTGAGCAATAAGGTCCAGATTGAAGAGTCTCTATCTTGAAATTATATCTAGAATCTGAACCAAATCAGGAAAAAAAGGGAGGGGGGGGGCAGATTCACCTGGAGCTTCGCAGATTTATTTAAAGTAAAACTCCAAGCAGTGCTTCTCAAACTTCAGTGGGCGTCATCCAAGGGGCTTGTTGAAACAGATCAGTGTCATGCCCCTGCTCCCCATTTCTGATTCTATAGTTTGGAGTGAGTCCCAGGAATTTTCTTGTCAAATAAGTGACAGTAATGTTGACAGTGCTGGTTCCAGGACCACACTTTGAGAAGCACTGCGCTGGTGGCCAGGCTCAGCTTGGGCTGAGTTCACCTCAGGAGCTCTAAAGGACACCAATGCCTTGGCCCCACGCCTCAGAGATTCTGATTTCATCGGTCTGTGGTAGGTCTGAATATCTAGAGTTTAAAAGCTCTCCAGGTTATTATCATGTGCAAGTGTTAAAAATAACTTCCCTAGACAACATTGGCGCTGGTATATTTTAGAGATGAGACACTCAATTATTCATTCAATAAACATCAACAGAGTATCTACCATAATCCCAGCCAAGTGCTAGGTGCTGGAGATACAGACAGAAATAAAGCAGCAGGGGAGAGATTGACACATTGACAACTGGTTAGTGAAGTGGCCAGTCTACCATAAACTTGAGCACAGAGATCTGCTCAGGGCTGTGGGTGCCTCTGGAGGACAAGGGGGTTCACATGAGGAAAAGCTTTATTCACAATCTTGAACCTCATTTTTGAAGAACGAGGTTTTTTTTTTAAAAGATTTGTTTATGCACATAAAAACTGGGGTGCAGGCCAGAGGTGCGGGGTGGTGGGTCAGCTCCCTGGCCAGGGATCGAACTTGTGCTGCAGCAGCTGATGATAGCTTCATAGTGCAGAGATTTAACCCCTGCACCACCAGGGAGGCCCTGAAGAATGAGGTTTTAAGGGCAGAGAATAGGGGAACGACATTGCAGAAGGTAGCCTGGGGCTCTGTTCTGTGATCAGTTGGCCAGAGCCTGGTAGGTGATGTGCAAGGAGGGGCAGAAGTAGCCCAGAGGGGGTGCCCATGTTCTGACATCCTCTTATGGACCGTGGGGAGGTATTTGGAGGGTTCTTGTAGGAAAATGATACAAACGGATTTGATCAACAGGTATAACAGCAGTCGGAAGACCTGCCTAAGAATCTCTAGGTAGAATAATCTCTCTGGAGATTCTATCTAGAACATTCTCTGAGGTGGCAGAGTTAAGACACCAGAACATCTCAGAAAAATAGAATAATCGGGCAGGGTGGGGAGAGGGTGGATGCCCTTCAATTCTTTACACTCATCTATATATTCTGACTTTTCTGAAATAAAGATATAGAAAAAGAGATACTCAATTCCTTCTTTTTAGCTAATTCCTGAAATTCCGATCAGAAGTTCTAAGGAAAAATAGGAGGATGCATTTGTTTCCATCCCAAATCAGCCTGCTTTGAGCTCTGGGAATACAGGGGGGAAATGGTGAAGGGCGTGAAAGAAGATGCAGATGAAAAAAAGAAGGGAAGAGCAAAACAGGTGGGAAGTGACAGAGGGTTTGAACTGACCCAGGTGACACAAGTTAAAGCTGCAAACAAGCTTGTCCTGTGCCTGCAGCCCTCCGCCTGGGAAGGCCAAAGGCCACATCCAGAGTCCTGCACTGCCACCTGCCGGTCGTAGGAGTGAAACGCCCACCAGGGGCTCCTGCCTGGGTATGATCGTCCTCTTTGGAGGGAGCTGGATGGAGCCAGAACATGCTGGTGGCAAAGTACACCTGCCCTCCAGCTGGGCGGGCACGTTCCTTCTTGTTCATCCCACTTCAGCCTCACTTTGAAATGGATATCTGTCATGAATCTTAAAGGGTATTCTTTTAAATCTCCACACTTTTACACCTCTGAAATTATGCCTTGGAATTGATGGTCTGTCAGTTTAATTAGATTTTTTTCCCCCTCTGTGATACATGAATCTTCCTACTGATGTCATCTTCGACATGGAGAAAGGGAATAGCATTTATTTTGCATATATCAGAGGTGCGACTGATGGAAAGGATTGTTTTTGTAGCATGAAAGGCTTCCCTCTTAAACCTCTTTCCACTTAAATTCTGGCTCTCCACTACTGGTGTTTGGTTTTTGGCAAATTACTGATCTCTCTGAGTGTCGATTTCTTCTTCATGAATACTACATGTGTCTTACTCAGTTTTGTGAATGTTCCATGCAATTATACATAAAGAACTCAAATAGTTCTGCTAGCACATGAAAGTACTCTGTAAATAACTATTATCATTTCCAAATTAAAGTCTCAAACAAAGATGGTCCTCCAGCTCCTGCCTCTGAGAAGAGCATCCAGCCAAAGACACTTCATTCTCAGGATGCGCCACTGAATCCCAAATGCAATCTGTGGGGCTTAATCCTGGGAATGCATGAGCACCCCCGGCTGAGAGGCTCACTTTATGCTGATAACAAAAGGCTTGAGGGTTCAGATGGAGTCTGCAGGGGCACTGATGTGAAATGCACCTATTTGGATGTTTAAAGTCTTAAGCAGAACCTAGCTATCTTTACCCACTGTAATTCAAAGCCTCCTGTCACCAAACTGTGTTATTCCTCGTGTCCTTAAAACTGCCCGGGCTGATTTCTGCTTTATTCTGATAAATGCGCAAGTGCAGAGCCCCATCTTTTAAGTAAAACTACTTTTCCAGGATTTAAGGCAGCCAAACATCAACGAGACGGGAAATGACGATGATAACAGGTAATGCACTCACTCCCTGCTGGATGCTGTTTGCGCCTCTCCCCAGCAATCGCAGGGCAAAGTAAAGGCTGGGCTGGGGGTGAGGGAAGCTTCTCTAATTGCTGCCAGGGAACGGTCTGGAAGGCTTTGTTAGCCCTGCAGGGGGGCAGCTCTGAGGAGCACCCCCATGGGGACGGAGCTGATAAAGATGTGCTGAAGTAGCCTTTCATGTTTGCCAAGTGGCCACCCCTTGAACTCCCTAATCTCCCTCCTTTCTTAAATGATGTGAAATTGTACCATTCAAGTTCTTAGCACAAGTTGCAAACAGAGAGAAGCAGCAATAGGAAGGGGAAGAAATCAAAGCTTTTTCAGGGCAGCTGCCTGGTGCTTCCTCTCCTAAGACCATCTTAGCTTTTCTGGGACTTGTGTTGGGATGAGGGGATGAAGGGAAAAAGATTGGGGACCTTCAAATACTCCTCTTCCAACTCTGTTTCTCTATCTCCTCTGCCATTATTTCTGGCCAAAATTCAATTTGACACTCACGGCGCTCTCTTAGGGCTAGTAAGCCTTTTTTATACCTTGGTGTCCTGGATGGAGTAAGAATTTTGCTTGTCTCTGATAAATAAATAATTTTGCTTGTTGCAGACAGGATAAATGTTTGTACTCCTTATATGTTAAGTACGTTGACATCTGTTCATTTATTTATGCCCCAGAAAAGTCTGGTTGCATAGAAACTCTGAGTCCCAAGGACAGACAATCCCACTGCCAAGTTCATATTCTAGCCCAGGATGGACAATGACCAACCCCATGTGTTGCGCTAGGAAGGGCCATCCAGATTTAGGACTTAAAAAGTGGCCTCAAGCATGTAATTTCCAGGAATGTCCGATTTTGTTGGCCAAGTGATGACTGTGCTGAGGTTTCCTAAGTTTCCATCTCCAACAAGGATGGCTTGCTGGGTGAGGAGAGATGGTGATGATTCCCTAATGAATGCTGGACTTCCTTTTCACCCAATATGGGTTCATATTTGTGATTTATTTATAGCTCTCCGAATATTTCCTTCACGTCAATAAAAACGGTAACAATTTTAGTGACAGTTTCCATGAGCTTCTCGGGGTCTCCATGGTCTCCTTTTGCTCCTGCGTTGATAATGAAATCAGAGTGTACAGGTCAGTGCAT